AAAATACCACAGCTCCCCCAAAAAAAATATCTAAATACGCCCCTGCCTATATAATTAAACTGTTAGTGCCAATATTTTACAACGTAATTTACAAGCGTTCTCGTATCTCGTATCTGCAGCAGACATAGGCGTCACTAAGGGGTATCGAGAGGTATCTTTTTCTACCCCTAAAAAGTCTTAGATTTTAAAAATATATTCGATTTTTATTATTCAAATGTTTATAAACATAGCCATTAGGTAGTTGTGTTTATGGTTAAGACGGTTAAGTCAACCCAATAGTATATATTGGGCCAATACCTACTAATAGACTGCGCCACGGCGATAGTGCCGTTAGTGCCGATATTGATGACAATCTTTTGAGATCGAATATTTTCATTTCAGTCTTCTCGGTTGATAATTGAGATCATGATTGACAGTAAACAATTATTTTGGTTTAAATGAGTAAAGATTRGATTTAATCGTGGCGGTGTGCAGATTATGAAGCCGTGAGAGTGTAATTCCCTTGATTCAATAATATAACGATAATATGAGCATGTTCAGTATGGTTTGRAAAAAATATATAATTATTATTTATTATTTAATGTCTATTAAGATTCAAWTCTATAATAATTAGAAAACTTTTAATTACAATTTACATTGCTATGATATTATTATTATTTATTGTTATTTATTAATATTGCTTATTTGGAACTCAGTTAATATAGTTTGTATTTTTCTTTATTGAGTGTATGAGTATTTCCTATTCAATTATATGACATGTGAAAAATGTATTTATATTATTGTTAACAATTAACATTTWTAAGTAGGAGTGGTGCGGGACAAAAATAATGACCGGGCCACGAAGACGCAAATGTTCTGAATATACATATAACTATATAGGTGGGTACTTATTTAAAAAAAACATGGGTTGTTCGTATACTATAGCGGTATGAGTGGCGTTCAAGCATGACTTATGCAAAATGAAGTTCCGTGTATGTCAAGTACGCGTTCTTGAAATTTTTAAAACCGATAAATTCGTACACATATTATGATACACGATCTTTCTACTTAATAACAAACACCTACATAGTAATACCTATATTAAAATATATGTAATGTCGCCCAAT